AGATGTTATATCAGCAACAGGAAAACATTTTTGATGAGTCTCTTGTCTTTTGCCTTGAAATTTCCACCTCATTGTGTATTTTAGAAGAATCAAGATTAAACCTTGCTCAAAGAAGATACTGATTTTGAAATGATTTTTAAAATATGCATAAACTTGTGACTTTAATACTTCAAGTCTGTTTTTGTTCTTCCTATTAAATGGAAATAGTATTTGACATTAGTTTGACAAGTTAAGAAAGTTAAGATTGAAAATATATATGGTTTTCCAAAAACTGTATTTACAAACTATAGTTTATGTTTTGTGTACTTTGTTTAGCTTGCAGACAAAAGACATCAATCTCTTTCCTTAGTCGACCAGACCTTCCAAACCTGGCTTATAAGAGACTAAAAGGCAAAAGTCCAGGAATTATCTTCATCCCTGGCTATATTTCTAGTATGAATGGTACAAAAGCATTGGCGATTGAGGAGTTTTGCAGATCTCTAGGTCACGCCTGTATAAGGTAGGAACAACACATTTCGAAGAAAATATTACTACCATTTAGCATGGCAGCGGAGGATTACTTCTGCTCTAACCAATTAAAGCAAATGCCAGCATTTTTATGGCTTAATTTCTTTTAATGGCCTGTAAACTTTCATCTTGTGATTTAGGGTTCTTGTAAATGCAAGTTTTAAAAGACCTTTTTTAAAGGTCTGTGTGCCACACTCACAATGCTGTCAGGAAAGGAAACTAGAGGTAAAACTAAGCTCTTTAGCTACAGTAATCTAACCTAACAAGAAGCTAGTATACTAGTTGGCTTTCTTGTAATCTCTTGTAATTATATTGTGGTTTTCCATTAGGGATTTANCAATAAGGGTGGAAAGGGGAAATGACCAATGGGTTTCCCTCCTTTTCTTGTGCATTGTTTTTCTCGTTATGAGGACAATTCAGATTTTTTCATTTTGCTGCACATAACATGCAAGAAGACCTGGAAAAATAAAGGGAGAGAATAGGGACAGGGATTATTGAGAATATTTGCAATTATCCAAAAACCATGGGGAGAAGTGTTTATTGTTAGGATATAAGGAATAGTGAAGTGGTGTGCATTGGGCAACACCATATTTAGTCCCTGTGGAGTCTACAACAGGCCTAATGGAGAACTGGGAGAACAGCTCAGCAACTTGTGGAGTATGTCCTGAAATCAAGCAGCTGTCCTTGCTATCTGTTTCTGGCTTTACATCTCTTATGAAAGAGATCTACTTAGTTTTTATTTATCCAACTTTTCCAGTATGTTCCAATAGGACATGTTCTCAAGACTCCAAAGGTAGGCTGGATTCACTGTATCTAACCGTCACTTTAACTCTAGCACCAATTATTGCTCCAATATTTATGACCAAGATAGTAAAATGGCCTTACTCAAAGTATGCCAACCATAGTAACTTTTAAGTAGAAAAAAACTAGATAAGGCCTTACTTATTGATGTTTGAGACCCTCAGAAATTACTTTGTAGGGTGTCCATGCTGGAATCCAGAAATCCTGTACCACAATTTATTGAACCGTTTTTCTATTATTGGCCATTCCATTTTTTTCTTTTTGTCTGTAAAGGTGCTATAGTATATAATATACATCCTTATGAACTAGCATTGTTTTCCATAGGATAATCACAAACCGGGACCATTGGGTCAAAGGTCATTGAGAATAATGCATATTTTAAATTGTAATAGATGTGGTCAGATTACTTGACAAGAGTTTAGCAATTCACACTCCCACCAGCCATACATAAGTACCAGTTTCCCAGCATCCTTGCCAATAGTTGCCCTTTCTAATTTTTGCCAATCTGATGGGTAGGAAAAATGGTATATTGTATTTTTTAATTCACATTTTTCAATTAGTGAGGTTGAACATCACGTTTACTGTTGATGAAGAAATGTTCAAACTAGTAGAGAACTTTTATGAGTTTATTTGAGCCAAACTGATGACAATTGCCAGGAAGCAAAATCTCAATGGCTTGAGAAAATGCTCCAAAGAATGGCAGTTTTGCAGCTTATTTTATATATTAGAATCAAAGGAGGAGATCTCAAGAGGGTTACATGAAATCCATTGGTGGTAGATTAAGACGGGGAAAAAGCAAAACGGAAATCTCTGGGATTGGATAAAAAGTAAATCATAGAGACAAAAAAACTTGTTTTACATTGGTGTGTATAGTATAGTTCATAATTAACATTTATAGCACATAGAGCTGAACAAGATAACAACCAGGGGTTGTGTGGTCTTCTGTTCTGGTGTGGTGGGTGTGCTCTGAAGGAGATACTCTGACATTTTAAAGGTATGTTATCTTAGATGCACGAAGACAGTCGACAATTTCAAAGGTAAAGATTGAACTTTGTCAAGGAAGCTACAGGCCTAGGTTATGACTACCTACCATGACCCGTTTTTACAATAGTTAGGAATGTTTATGTTCAGCCCATCCTATGTGGTTACCTTTGGGCTCTGAGTTTGTAAGGCCCACCATGCCAGCCTCCCC